CCAGCAGAAACACGTTTCGTGAGGGGTCTACGAATAAACGAAGAAAAGCTTGCCCGGCCTACGTCATATCCGTTTTGGGTAAATTAACTTCAATTTATTCAAATTTCTGAAGCGTGCGTAAATGTAAATTTGCATTTGGCGCTTATTAAAATGTTCCATGGCGGGCTTTGTGCAATAAAATATACCCTGACTGTATATATACCCAACCATTAAACACATGTTCGAACGGACTAAAAAGTTCTTGTCATTCGTACAAACTGTTAGGCTGTTGAAGGCTTGAAACTTTTCAAGATATCCAATTTCTGAAGTCGAACACAAAGTCGATTTCACACTAAATGTAGCCGGCATAAAAGCTTTATCGCAAGTAGGCTCGAATCCCAGTTTCCTCATGACATTTACCAATAGCGTTTAATGCTGTTTCGTGCACGTTGGTTATCATATTGTCTAGGCTCTAGGTCACATATTAAAGCGGTCTTTGAAGCTTCCAACCAAACCTTCCGAACCAACGGCAAGAGGCCAGGCATGCTGTACAAATGCTATTTGTAAGTGAAATGGAGAAGGAAAGGTCGTCTAACTCCTTATGTACAGTGTCCTTGCTGTCCAAGAAATTAATATTGCTTTTATTCGATGGGACTTTGAAGTAAAGAACACATTTGTATTGCACAAAGCCTGCCATGGAACCTGATTTTAATAAGCGTCAAATGAAAACTTACATTCATGCACGCTTCAGAAATTTGAATAAATTGAAGTTAATTTACCCAAAACGGATATGACGTAGGCCGGGCAAGCTTTCTTCGTTTATTCGTAGACCCCTCACGAAACGTGTTTCTGCTGGGGTCTACACCGTAGGCTAGATCCATCCGAGACAAATCGAGAATGTTTGTTGCCTCCAATAGATTGTGAAAGTGAGACCATCATATTATGTGACTCAAACGGTCGGTTTCTGAACACAAAACTATTATGCCCAAATTCAACGTGTACATACCTAAGATGCCGTACAGCTGAGGATATTATCAATAGCACTAATTTTAAATCACCACAAACCGTTATCTTACATTGTGGTACCAATGATATGGAACACTTAAAGCTGAATGAAGTCTGCTCAAAAATCTCAAATATCATCAACTGAATAAAGAAGAAATACCCCACATGCAAAGTAATCATCTCTTCATTCCTCCCAAGATTAGATCAACAACATGAAATAATCCATCAAATCAACCTAAAACTTAAAGAACAACTCTCAGATAAAAAGGACATCTACCTTGTTAGTCATAACAATCTTTTCCCATCAACTCAACATCTACATGACAGAAAACACCTAAACAAGACTGAAGTTCGATTATTTGCAAAGAACCTCAAAGACAACTTATTTCCACTCCCGAAAACACCAAAATTCAAAATCTGATCACTTTCCGAACATGTGGAGAGTACCATTTCCAAGACATCAGAATCCAAATACTAGCCAGTTCTGGAATCAATCGAGTTCTCCATTCCCAAGACCCGAAAACATGGATCCCAATCATTCACAGTATCCTTTGAGATCAACATTCCCAAGAAGTCTAATTCCACAACAAGGTCCAAACCCTGTTGTTCAACCACCTCGACCCCATTATCCATATGCACCAGGGCTACCCCCTCCTAACCTTACACCCCGACCACCAAACACATATGTCAGCCCTAGACAAAACATACCGGCTCTTTTACCATGGTACACACCAAGAAGACAATTACCAAAGATTGAGAACAAGATGATTCCCCCTTTACCACCTCATCTTGTTGAACTTGTAAAACAACTTCATGGGTATGTTTGTTAGTTTCATCCACCTTAATATTAGTCTAAATATATTATATAGTTATGTAGTAAACATACATATAGTTAATATTGACAAATTCATCTTAATAATTAACTATATTTGCCAGAGATTAATATCGGAATGCTTCACACTAATTCACGTTAATTTTTATCTCTATTATCCCAATTGATTAAAAGTATCTTTAACATGCAACAAAATATTTCGATAAGCATGTGGAATATTAATGGTTTCTCCAGCAGTGTCCTTGGAGATAAATCAAAGAATGATGATTTCTTAAACCATATAAAGGAATAATGATTTTATATTTCTAACTGAAACTTGGTCTAACACTTCTATTTGTATTCCTGGCTTCAGAGCACTGTCAGCAAATATAGCAGAAAAATAAGCCATTGTGGTCGCTTTCAGGTGGCATCACATTGTTACTTAAAAATCAATTTCAAAGTTATGTCTCAATTGTCAAGAAATCAGATTTCTAAGGAATTACTAAATTCAAATAATGATCTTTACTTATGTGGGGTCTATATACCACCTGAAAATTCAGTGTATTTTGAAAATGAAATATTTGATATACTAGAAGATGAAACCAGCGCATTTGCTGCAAAAGGAGATGTAATGTTAATTGGAGATTTTAACGCCAGGACAGGTAAACTTAAAGATTATGTTTCAACTCATACATGATTTTACTTCCGAATCTAACAGACAAACTAGTAGAGAGAACTTTGACAACACCATTAATAATCATGGTAATATCATAGTTGCCTCGAAATCCTTTGTCTCGCGAGGTACGATTAATCACTAATTTACCTCATTACCCATGCATACGCTTTTGTCTTCTAAATTTCCCTGGGAAATTTAGTTGAAAACAAAGGATTTCTTTGTCTTCTAATTTTCCCCTGCATGTTTGATAAGGGAAAATTAGAAGACAAAGAAATCTTTTGTCTTTTACTAAATTTCCATTTCCCGGGGAAATTTAGAAGACAAAAGCGTACCTCATCGAAAATCATCGGCACAACTATGGACAGTTTATGACGACACCGCCCCGTACACATTCGAACAATCACTTTGCCAGCTTTTATTCCCCAATCTTGAACATTTCAATTGTGGAAGAAAATTCCGTTTATGCGCATGCCTAAAACGCCAATGGACATGGAGATGTGTTTCTGCGCGTGCGTATATATGAAAAGTGTTCGTACCACAATCACAATACAATCAAACAGCATTCAAAACAGGCAACACAAAATATTACAAAGTAATAGCATGGTACTACTATCGATTAGTGATGAAATGTCCCTCAAGCCTCAAGAGGTTTAGTAAAAGTCCCTCGGCGTTACGCGCCTCAGGACTTTTACTAAACCTCTCTCGGCTTTCGTGTACATTTATTCCACTAATCGCCCTGAATGGCCATGCTATTACTTATAATAAATGTTTGATAGAATTTTGCAAAAACCATGATTTCCGAATTTTGAATGGTAGGACCAAACCTTTTGGAAAATCTACCTTCCATAAAAATAATGGTTTTAGTACAATAGATTATGCTGTATGTAACTATTTTACTGTGAACCCTCCAAATTATCTCTCCGATCACAGCCAAATTATAACCTGGATAAATGTCAAAAAACCAATTGACAGAAACTCATCTGATACTCCTCATAGTAATTACTCTCATAAACTCCCACCTCAATTCATATGGGAAAATACATCTGATAGAGCCTATATTGAAAGTCTTAAATCCTCACAAATTCAAACAAAACTTCAAAGTTTTCTAAACAGTGATTTTCCTTCAAATAGCGAGAGCATTAATATGTGTCTAAATACATTCCAAAACATTATACAAGAAGCTGGAAAGAACTCGCTAAAAATAAAGTAAACAAAAAAACGCTGTAAAAGTAGAAACACTACTAATAAAAAATGGTTTGATATAGAATGCAGACTTAAAAGACACGCTGTTAGGAAATTAGAAAATAGAAAACATAGGGACCCACTGAACACTGATATCAGAAGTAATTATCACAAAACATTAAAAGATTATAACGAAACATTAAAAACAAAGAAAAATCAATTTTACCTAGGAAAAGTTAATGAATTAGAACTACCAGCTGAAAAAGACCTGAACTCTTTTTGGAAAGTACTAAAAACAGTTAATTATGATATAACTAATGACAAAACTACTACTCCCATTTCTGAGGCAAAATGGCTGTCCCATTTTACAAAATTACACTCAAAACAAAGAACAACACGATATGATTGAAACTTTGCATATCAAGGAACAAAATAGAAACCAATTCAATAATCTAGACCAAGTAATTTCAGAACAAGAAATTGTTAATGCAATTAAAAAACTCAAAAGAAATAAATCCGCATACTCGGATAGAATAAAAAATGAGATGATAAAATGTAGTATACATATCCTCATTCAAGGATACATGAAACTCTTTAATTTAATCCTGCAAACAGGAGTATTCCCAGATGTGTGGTGTGAAGGTCTAATTACTCCAATTTTTAAATCCGATGACAAGCTTGATTGTAATGACTACAGAGGAATTTGCATTTCTAGTTGTCTTGGCAAATTTTTCTGTGTAATACTGAATGAAAGGTTACACAATTATACAAGTGAAAATACCACCACATCTCTAACTACATTTAAATGTAATCTAATGAAATACTACGTAGAATTAACCCAACAAATTTATGACCCTGAAGATCCAAGAACATTTAAGTCTGTGTGTATTAAATGTCACACCACTCGCCCACTAATGAACT